CTTCCGAACATGGTGAAAGATTTTGTTACCAATATCCATATCCATTACTTACTGGACTTTGTTTCTGAAATATAGTATGTTGTTTTGTACTAATTAGAAAATGAAAATATCTGTAACTATGCTAAATCAAAATTATTCATCATCGTGCAGAAAAGGAAAAAATTGAAACTGGATTAGGGTTTCAGTTTGGAGTTTTTAATAAAACAACTTTGAAGAAAAGGAGGAGCAGCAGCTTTGAAGAGTTGTAGCTGAAGAAAGAATTGCATGAGAATAAATGATAAAAGGATTCATTTATAGGTGACTGGTTTATTCTTTTTAATTGACAATTGCTTGGAAGAAAAAATCAGTGCTGAGTCTGAAAACAGAATTCTGCTCCCGATTGATCTCAGGAAGATTCCACCAAAAAAGCAGCATTACTTGGATTTTGCAGAGTCATTTTCATCTTGGCCACTGTTCACCTTGGATAAACAAATCATTTCAAACTTTCAGCTTCTCATCTCAAAATTCAACCTTTCCGTTTGAATATGACAAACAATGTGTTTGGTGACGTATAATAATTCACCTTGTAAAAGTCAAAAGTGAAAGGGGTTTCTTAAAATTTAGAATATTTTAAAATTAGATTAATTAAAAACTAAATGGGAATGGCTAGATGCCATCAAATCATTTTAGTCCTTATCAAAGGATTTTTCAGTATTCTATGTCAGTTGTAAAGCGAACTTTTAGATGAGAGATAATCTTTAATCTTGAAGAGATTTTTAAGTTTTTTCCTATAAAGATTTTTATTTTTTATCTCTAAGAAAGACAAACTTACATTAATTTATGAGAAATAATTTATCAGAAGTGTAATGCATGTGTTAAATATACCTTCCAAAGGTTTCTGTCTGTAATAAGATGTAGGTAAGTTTAATGAATTATCCTAGGTAGATAGCACAGTATTACAATTACAAAAGACTGGAAGATACAACTTGTAGAATCATTTTAGAACAGTTTTATTTGGGAATTGTATTCCTTGAAACCTTCAGCAAAATTAAATGTACATAAGGCTTCAATGCCCCTTCCCCACATATCCATTGTTCAATGGATATGTGGGGAAGGAGCATTCATTTATTTTACCTGTTTCTTCCCTACAATCAGCAAATAATAGAATGTTTCAAAATATTGCAAGCATAGTAAAAAAAAAAAAAAAAAAAAAAAAAAAAAAATGTAAAACTTAAAAAAAATTAAAATGAACTTATGTAAGGTGTTTTGGTCCAGTAGACAGTAGATTTGAATGATACTTGCAAGATCTTGAAATTGCTAGTTCAACATTTATTAAAAATTATTTCACCTTAAATAATTTTTACATAACTCTATTTGTATGAAAATAAAATTTTAAATTATATGAGTAATTTTCAATGATTCAAGTTAAAAAAATCCTGCAGCCTATTTCTGAAATAGTTTATTCTTACATTAACTTCCAGATTTGTTGAATTAAACAAGATATCTTAAAATACATGCTATAACAGTTGGGCAATTTCGTTTATAGTGATAATTTTTTAAAAGTATTAAATTATCTTATTCCTTGATTTAATGGTTTTGTTAAATTATTAATTTTTATGATTTTAAATAAAATTAAATAATTTATGTTTTTAAACTTAAAAGATTTTTTATTACAAGTTACTAAAGTAAAAATCTAGAAAATAGAGAAAGAAAGAAAATACATACAAGAAACAAAAAGGAAAATTGTGTGAGAGAGAATAAAATACTGTTAGTGCCTTTCTCTCATCTCATATGCTTGGGTATTTGTAGCACCCTGAAGACTGAAGTATAACATATTTATATAGATTATGAAGATGCTGATAGGGGCGTGGCTTAGGGCAGCAAGGAAATGATGGATGGGAAGAGGAGTGAGGTGAAGCCAATCTAGTACCTGGCTACTGCAAGACAATGTAGTAGTCACAGACTAAAAAAAAAAAAATTGAATAACATCACATTTGTCTGACTGTCCATACATTTGTCTGACTGTCTGTCTTGTGATCCTCACTGTTCATCTGAGGAATGTAGTAGGGAAAATAACCGTAACTTTTGGTGAATGTGCTTATGTCAGAATTGGTTTTGGTGAATGAAAAACCAATAAGTCTTTGAAAGCAGGGCTTTGGGAGCAAGAGGGTTGTTGGGGAGCAGGAAAGGACATTTCATTATAGGGCAGAATGTTTTCTTTTTCCTTTTTGTGAACAGCTGAATCAGGATTCTGTCTAGAACATAGACAGAACATTGCAATACTGATAGGGCATGACAAACAGGAACCTGAAAAAGTAAAAAAAAAAAAAAAAAGTAATCAGGATAGTACAAAAATATGAACTGAAACCTCACCTTTTAAACCTATTGTAAGTTACTGATTTGCTTTGTGCTGATTACAAAGTGAATTAAATATATCATGTTAAAGTAAATCATGTTATATCACTTGCTTTAAGTAAATAGTAAATGATGCTGCCATTTAATGCAAAGAAAAAGTAACCTACCTAGGGCAATGGTGCCTTAGTTCCACTTGCTTCAAACATTATCCTTAGGACCTTTTGTACTTATCACAGTATCTCTTTAACTTTTCAAAACAACCTACAAAATCCTATTTCAGGATCATCAGCTGTCACATTGTGGTCTTATTTTGGTATATGGCTTGGAATTCCTTTCTTTTAAATGACTTTAAATCACAGGCAAGACAAAGAGAACTGACAGACATGGAGGTGAGATGTCAAATGCAGAATGAATAATTGAGATTAATAAAATGACTGAATACTTTTTGGACAGTCCATGGAATACATCACCTTATTATCACATTGTCAATTAATAATTTCTTTTGATTTTATCTCACACATTTTCAGTAATGTCAAGTATTCTGTGTATTGCAGGTCTCCCAGAACATGGACAACGTTCAACACATTCCCAACTATATTTTATCTGATCTGATTTAATTGTTTCTGTGGATGAATGTACAACTTTCAAGTCAAACATGATGCATATTTATTTAGAATGTGACAATCAAAAAATGCACAAGATTATTTATCTCTACCAAGCAAGTAGCCCCATGGGAGAGTGCCAGTTCATATGGGTGTAGCAAGGTTCTCCTCTGATTAGCTGCAAAGCAACATCAGGACTACACAACAGATTCCTAAGATATTCAAAATAACTGGGTACTTTTCAGAAAGACCTTTTATGTACACATGCATGAAGCTAGGCACAAACACAGATTTATATAGGTATCTCCACTAATTCACTGAGAAAAACAGCACAACATGATGAAAAGGGACCCAAACTTAATAAAAAAGAAGTTTTATTGTCAAAAATGCTTGTTATTATTAAAAGCAAAGACTGATGTATTTTTTGATTATTTTATTAAATTTTTTCATCCTTTCTCATACATTCAAAATTTTGGTTAATCTTTTTTTACATCAGCAGTCTACATCATATCTGTTTTAGCACTTTTTTTCATGTGACAAAACTTATTGATTTGAAAATTCTTGCAAAAATCAAATAATTGTTGAATTTTAATGAAAGTTTAAGAACCTATTCACAACTAAATGAAATTATTTTAGACATGCTTTTATAGAAAGTCCTGGTAAAAATATTTTTTCACATCTTTACTTAATATTATGAAAACTCAAGAAATTTGTTGGCATGCACTTTATTGATTACTAGCAGCATAGCCTGGCATTGCACGTGCTTGATTAAAAAATCGTACGACTCATACAGCAATCGCTATCACTTGACTTAAAATATTTTTGCCCTTCCTTGTCTTTAAAGGAGTGCCCTTTGCCATGCTGATGTTGCTACATGCCTTACTTCTTGCCTATCTCACACTACAAATTTTTTCTAAGCTCTATACTAAACATTAAATCTGTTACAAAAAAAGAACTAAACAAAATGAACACAAAATGATCAGCTTTAAAAAAGGACTTGTAACTGGAAAAACCAAATGAAAAAAAAATGTTAACAACAAATACTTTTTCACACCCAACCCAGTTCTGCTGAATCAGAATTAACAAGTGAATGAGCCAATTAGAGTAAAGTGCCATGCAGATTAAAATTTTCCCACTTGTGATGAATGCAGCTATCGATTTTTTTTGCATGCTAGTTAACATTCGTGTCAGTCAGCTGTTGGCTCTCACGCTGGCCAATAGAATCTTCCTGACTATTCGTGGCAGCCAGCTATAGGCTCTCACTCTGGCCAGTAAAAAATGGCTGCAAACTACATGAAAACTGCTGTAGAAGCATGAAAAAATCGATTATTTTCACTATCGATGTAAGCTGCCAATACATTGACATAAATGGCAATTCACACCTCCAAAACAAGTTACCATAGTTAGACATACTTCTCTTATTTTCAACTAAATATTTTCTGCAAAAAAATAAGTAATGTTTGTTTAAGTAAACTTTAAATTTTCTAATTTTCCTCAAAGAACCTTTAAAAAAGGTATAATTGATTTTTACAAGATTTTTAAATGGAGAATTTAACTTGTGTTTAAAAATTTCTAAAAAATAGCAGATATCAATTTTATGTCAAATTTGTTAACTCAAAAAAAAATAAACAAGATTTTTAACTAAAATCTCGGATGTGTTAGGAAGGATTAAAAAATGTAAAAAAAAAATAATCAAAAATACTTTGGTCTTTCCTCTTAATAATAACATAAACATTTAGATGATAAAAAAATTGTTTTCATCAAGTTTGGGACCTTTTTTCATCAGGGTATGCACTTTTTTAATGAATTAGTGGAAATATCTAATTTATACAATAGACTTTTGAGAGACTATCAAAGAAAAGTCATTTACTGAAATGATTTCTAGAGTTTGAAGAAAAATAAAATCTCTTATTTCCTATAAGCAAAAAATTCCACCAATTCATAGTAATATTTTGAAATATTTGATAACTTACTTGAGTTAAATTAATGTTTTCCAATTATATTTTTTATTAGCTACATGTGTAATTGGTGGGACAGGTGGTTCTTTCATTTTCCATTTTTTTGTTATAGGGTCTTCTACACAGCAGCACATAGAGCAGCATGGAACATAGGGCAGGATCTCATGGAAACCACCCACAGAACGAGGTGCCTTCCCTAGCAATTGACGAGTACACACGTCTAAACTCCCTGCATGACCAACTATCAATATATTGCCACCTGAAACAATGCAAAAAAAAAGAAATTAATGAGAAATGCTATTAATTTTGACTTTTAGATAAAAGTAAATTCTCTATTGAAGTATAAGTTACATGAAATAAATGTAAAAAAGAGTTTGTAATAAGTGTGTTTTAGTAAAATACAAATATCATGAATAAAAATTATATAATTGGACGAATGAAATCAATCAGAAGCCTGTGGAAATAAAGTAATGCTTGCCAAACATTTTATCACTGCAAAACAAGAAAATTTAATAGAATGCATTTGAAAGTCTTGTACCTTCAGGCTCATGTTTCTTGAGAATATAACGTGTGAAGTCAGCACACCGTGAATAATAGTGTTCAACTGTCTCGTCAAGGTAAAGCTGAGTAGGCACCATGTAAGAGATGTAGTTTCTATCCACAGAGTAACCACGTTCCAATAATTCATCAGTCGTAAACCAAATAGGCAGTCCAAGCTGGTACCAGCCCAACCATTCAAATAACGAAGGCTCAATACAAATTTTGATTCTTAATCCAAGAGCTGGAAAAAAATGAAATGAAATGTGACTACAAAGTAATTAAACAAAACAATTCATAAAAACAAATTATGAACATGAGAGTAAATTATATTTAACATGATTAATCTTTTTCATTTTTTTTTGCACCATCTGCAAATTTTATACTTTAATTCATCTTATTTAATGCATTCCAAAAAATATGAAATGAAAGTCACTACCACATGTCCTAAAGATGATGTAAATAAATATCAAAATACAAACAAAATTAATTGTTTGCTCATCAAATATGCTCACAATCATGTTCTTTTAGTTACTTCTAAGTAAAAGAAAAAAATTAATGAACTTCCAAAATCTCTGGATGCAAGTAACGTTTTGCAGTTTTTTTATTTTAACCAAACAATTTACTCACACCTTGAAATGCTTTAAATTTTATACCTTCAGATGTCATTGTCTTAGATATCGAATGCCGTTACAGTTACAGTAAAAATGACAAGGGAGATAACTAGCTTTACACATAAGGTATCGGTAGTTATTTCGCTTACTAAGAAAAAATGAAAAGAAAAAACAAGAATTATCATATTAGATTTTTTTCTTGTTCCTTAGCACATACATTACACTCACTCAATACCTAAAAAATAATGGACAATATCGTTTTAACCGCGAGAAAACAGTGAGAAAAAGAAAGAAAAGATAGAGGTAGCAATAACACAGTGTTATATTGTCTAGTTTTTTCCATACATGGAAAAAACTAGACAATTTCTACCCTCTTCTTTAATGACCTGCATTATTATTTATGATTATTATTGCAACATTTTGTTAAAGTTGTTTAGCTCAAATATTTAACAATATAATAGGGGAATTTCCATGGATATTTTATAGTCATGGAACTCAAACTTATTCAATCATTAACTTGAGGTTTAAGATTAATCAGAAAATTAAAATAGCCAAACTAAAATTTTCATGGGTATTTCTAATTTGTATTATTTTACATGTAAGTAAATTTTTCAAATGGAAGTTCAATAAATAAAAATAAGATAATTCTGATAAAACTTTTTGTTGAGATAATGAAATTTGCACAGGAGAGAAATGCTGGAAATTCTCAATCTTAAAAATTTTAAGTAATGTTACCTGTAATTATTTCATGTGCAGTTTGAATACATCGGAGGGCTGGAGACACATATAAATGTGACAGGTTCACAGAAGCATCTCGTAAACCTTCTCCTGAAAATAGGAAAACCAGAAAAGATAAAATAAAATGAAGTAAAATTAACAATTAAGTAGGAAAATAATGCATAGGGAAAAGTCAAATGTTCTTCAAAAGAAATTCAGCAAAAATCTAAAAATAAAAATAAAATTAGAGAAATAAATTTGTTGAGTGAAAATTGAAAAATAATAAAAATATTAAGTAAATGAAATAATGCATAAACTAATGAAAAAATAAAAGAGGAAAGAAGAAATATGAAAAAACAAAAATAGAAAAGTTACAAAAGGAGATAAACAAAATAATGAATGAAAAAAAAGAATTTAAAAGACATATGTGTCTTAAATTCTTGAGGTTATATATATATATATATATATATATATATATATATGAGACAAAATGTCTGCAAAAATTTTGGGAAAGAAGATGGTGTCAACAAATTGTAAAAATGAAGATATGAAAACAAAAATTCTAAGTCAGAAAAGAAGGAAGATTTTGCATTCATTGTTACTGGAAGTAAAACCGTGTTGTATTTGTGTCACTCAGTCATCAAAGAGCCAGTAACCAGTAAGAAGGCAGTTTAGTTGTTTCAACATGATGAAACAACTAAACTTCCTTCTTTCACCAGATTATTCACTGAAATTAGAATTATAGGAAAAGAGTTAAATAAATGGAGTAGGGATATCACATCTGAGCTTCCCCATTTTCTCTTTCCATCCTTGTGGGGAAGGACATATTTTCCACTCTGAGCCTCTTTCCCACAGATGCAATGATGCAAGCTATCACTATTTTCATGACAAATATTCAGATGAATTTCATTTAGTTTCACCAACTCAGATCTTTACAGCTAAGACATGTCATGTTATGTCCACAAAGTCAAGCCATCTGCATTCCCTTTGTATTCCAATTGCAAGGAGGAAGTTCCACTCAGAAAGCTTTTTCACAAAAACTGCAGGTTTGTGAAACAGACTCCCGTGTAGATGCTTTTTCCAACCAAAACTATCTTAATCTCTTCAAGTCAAAGGTTAATTGTTACCTATCTTCATAATCTTCATCTCCTACTCTTAAATTCATATTGCACAACCTCATTCAGTAACACTTTACCTTGAGTGGTAAAAAATGTATTTGTTTATACTTATATAATATTTTTTGTAAGAAAAATGTGCATGTAACAACAAAAGTAGGTCAGTAAATTTTGTTTGTCTTGCCTTTCTCAAATATCTAAAGTTTACAAGCAAATTTAGTTGGTTTTTCTCAAGACTAAACTTTTCTTCTTACCAAGCCATTGTTGTCTTTTCTTCCTTTTTTTTTACTTACCTGTGAGTCTGGCTTGTAATTTGCCAACTTCTGTCAATGGACAATCTTTGATAAAATCAAGATAGTTTTTCCTCTTTAGCATGATTTTAGGTAGATTCAAGTTAATCCGGTTATATCTGCCTGAAAAATACCATTGACATCAATTTTCAAATATTGGCAATTTCCATTATCAAAGGTAATAAAAAAAACACATTTATTTATGCATAACTAGCACAGTAATACAAAATAGAATATTTAATGAATTTTGTCATGAGACAAAACTGATTACAAATGAAACTTAGGTAACACCTTAAATATCAATAGGTGAGCAGCCTGATTAAATAATCCTGTTTACAAAATGCACTGATTTTTCATGTACCTAATATTACTAGGTAAAATCTAGAATTTGAAAATGAAGGCAAGACTGGTATTTTTTAATCTTGTTTTTATGCTTTCAGTATTGCCACATCACTCTCAATGATGTACAATTACTATTATTTATCAAATCCTAGAAATATATTTCCATCTGATAGGTGGTGCTGAAAAGTTTTTGGCCACACCAAAAAGGAGATTCAAAACAATTCTGATAGTTGATCATTTAGTCAGGTTTTGGGAAATGGGTCAGACTGAAAAATTTTCAGAACCTCCTTATATTTTGCATAATAGTGATACAAACTAAAAAATGCCACCCCTGCCTCTATATTAGTTATAGAATAAATAAACAGGGAATCACTAAGTCTGAAACAAAATCATGTATTTATTTTATACATTTTTTCCATTATTCTTCCTTGTGTTATAAAATAAAATAAGACATATCTCGGCTATAAAAGGGGTCACACGGAAGTTCAACAGGCAGTCAACAGGTGCCCAGGGTAGAGACCTGTCACGGTCAGCAGCTGACAGCAGGGGAGCATCGACCACCGTCAACATGTGTGAAGTACTATGAGAGATCGACCTAGATCTGAAGCCGGCTAATGAAGAATAGCACAAGGTAGCTGTCCCAAACCCTCACGTTCCTGTTGAAATAAACCACGTAAATCTATTTCTACTGTTGTCGTATTTCTTTCTTGCAACCATACACTTGTCTATAACACTGGTGTCAGAAGCGTACAGTAAGAGAAATATGGCCGACTACACGAGCTTCACCGAGCCAACTATTTACTCTCATCAAGGAACAGAAAAACACTACTATTCAACTTGAAAAACAGGACCAACACAGCCTTCTGAAGCCACAATACAGGAAATTCAAGCCGATATAAACGACATGCTAACTGCCCTAAAATCAACTACTTCAACACCTCCCACCGCTCAAACAAACAGCGATTACAGTTTAATGATGCGCCAACAAACCATACGTGACATATTGAAGCTAGAGAGAACTTTTCACCCTGGACACGACGTGAACCGATTCATCACGGCCCTAAACAAAGCATACACAATCCACGCCACGCCAGAACTCAGCACCTATCCCAGCCTGAATGCGAATTCGCCAAGTCTGCTAAAGATTTACTGGACCAAAGTATATTTCAGCAGATGGTTGACTCAAAAAAGGACATATCCACCTTCGAACAACTGAAGGAATACTTATTAGGAAGCCAGATAACTAACTTCCAAAACCTCAGTCAAACCTGGGATCTGGAACGGCAAGACGGCGAAAAATTAACAGACTTCGCGGGTCAACTCGAAAACACCCTTAGAGAGGCAGCTGTCCACATAAAAAACAAAGACAAAAATACAGACTTAACAGTCGATGGACTTATTTCCATCATCGGTGCTATGCTAATGAGCGAAAAGGTGAAAATTTGGAACTCAAATCTTTACCCACATCTCGTCAAGACAATGGACGACCACTATTCAGCCATTGGCATAGCCTCCGAAGCTCAAATATACCTTGATCGCAGTGTAAAATCCAACGACACGACAAGACAACACTGTGTATTTCACACAGAAACCACAGCGGTCAAACCAAAGAAACGTGCCACTCCGACCCAGCAGCCAACCAAACCCACAGCAGATGGGACTCACCAACCCTCCCGAACATGGCCACCATCTGACACACAGAAACCATCAGCACACATCACGAATCAGCGTGTGCAAGAAATACCTCAGAGGTCGCCCCTGCCACTATGGATGCAACTGCCTATATCGCCACCCACCTCGCACTCGGGCACAGGCCCATATCGCCGCAACAAATGATAATATACAAGCCATAAATGATGTGGAACAGGATTTTCGCTTCGGGCAGGACAAGAAGTGATGCCTCATTCGCCATGCCCCTACACCAGCCATCACACCTTCAACTTTCAAGGACTCGCTCACCATTCACCGCTCGTCCAGTCCACCTTCAACTTCAGGGACATCACCTTCTCTGGCGTCGCAATGCTAGACTCTGGATGCTCCACCTGCATCGTGCCAATATCTCAGTTACTCAGAGAAGCCAAGAAACTCATGACCCGCTCTGACGTCGTAGTAAAAGGAATCAACGGCAGCACCACCGCCCTCGGCGAACTGACTTGCAACATCACCATCGGCAGTCGAGACTCACCCACATTCAAAAAGGTTAACGTGCTGGTAACTACCCAAACCACACCGATCCTAATCGGCCAAAATATCCTATGTCACAACACACTCGATTCCTATCTAATCGACAACCAAAATGTGACTATAGAATTCAGACGCACACTTTCCTCAGGATACACAACACACACAGCCGCAATCATATCACCGTCTTCGTCAACCAACAATCCAGCATATGGCGCTCAAGCTGACATCATCCAAAACCAGCCTACTATGGAATTACAGCCCAACATCCAGACACTGGATCAAAAGCTAACCTGGCTAAAACATAACGTGGGACCGAACCGAGACGAACTAGAGACTGCAAACTTACTCATTTGCTACGCTGACATTATTGGCACAGAAAGCAGCAGCAAAGGCACATTCATCCGACCCATCTGCATACCAACTAACAGCCAATCTCGCAGCCAGAAACAACACCCGATAGCCCAGGCTTTGGAAGCAGACGTAGATACCGAAATTAAGCATATGGCTGATGAAGGTATCATTGAAAACTGCAGCGACCCCAAAGGCTTCAATAGCCCTGTATTTGCTGTACGCAAGAAAAACGGATCGATTCGTGTCATTGCTAACTTTAAAAGAACTCTCAACAAGGTCTTAGTCGATCTTGACCCTTACCCAATGCCAAGTATCGACCACTTGTTCAACAAAATTGGCAAAGGATATTTTACTACCCTCGATCTACGCAGCGGCTACTGGCAAATTGTGATCGACAAGCGAGACCGATACAAAACAGCATTTACATGGAAGGACCAATGCTATCAATACACACGGCTGGCCTTCAGCCTTACATCTGCCGGACAAATCTTCTCCCGTTGCATAGCAGAAGCCCTAGCCGTGGTCACATCTCGTGACAACATTTCCTCCTATATCGACGACAACCTGGTCCACGCTAGGACATTTAGGGAGTACATACTCTCCCTTGAACAATTTTTTACTGCCCTCTGAAAATTCGGACTCAAGCTGAATCCCAATAAATGTTCCTTCCTCGCATCAGAGGCAAAATTCCTCGGACGCATAGTAAACAGCGAAGGATTCAAGGCTGATCCAGAATACGTTCGTGTCATCAGGGAAATGAAACCTCCAACATCAAAAAAGGAATTACAAAGCCTTATCGGCCGTTGAGTGTGGATCAGATAATTCCTAGAGACACGTCTTCACGAACAAATCAGGTCAGATATGTTTTCAAAACTTATGGGTCCCATACATGAACTCAACAAGGTTAATAAACCGTTTGTCTGGACGCAAAATACCGACAGAGCCTTAAAAAAAAAAAAAAAAAAAAAAAATCAAGGACCATCTCCCTTTGCCACCCGTCATTTCGTTTCCGGATTTCTCCAAACTTTTCACACTCACTACCGACACCAGTGACGTTGCATATGGAGCAATCTTAATGCAAGAAGCCGACAATGGGAAGAAAGATATCATAGCGGTCGCTTCCCATACATTCAACTCCACAGAACAGAATGAGAGACATATGCAATAAAGTGGGCAATATTGAAATTTGATTATTTCCTTCGCAACCGCTCCTTCGTCATCTTCACCAACCACAGATCACTGACATATCTGAACCAATGAGAGTTCAATAATACCAAAATACGACGATGACAAGAAGAAATTTCATGTTATAAATTCGTCTTGGAATATGTTGAAGGCAAATCAAATGTATGGGCTGACATGCTCAGCAGAGGCTGCGGACATAAGAAAACGAAAGCCCCGAACGACCCTACACCGGCAGGCAGGACATTCGAGGTAAGCGGTTCAGACCTCCGCGTATACATCCCATCTTGATGCCTCGGCAAGTTTAACGGTTTACAGCTCATTCCCAAAATTCATACACCACAAAACGCCCGCACCCACAAGCGCGTCACCAACGCATTCTTCACCTATAACTCTACCACCACCTTCCCTACTGAGAGAATCTGCAACCACCTCAGCATAGCAGATGAACAACAGAAGGACGACGCCCTGGCAAAGATCATCAGCGCCCTCCAGTCACCCACTCCAAGCAAATCTCATATTGATCCTGACAACCACCAAGCTATGCTTTTCAAAAAACATTTGCACCAATTTTTTCTAGAACCAGGCACCTCCGTTTTGATGATAAGAGACAGTAAACACTCTCCGAGATTGGTTGTACCATACAAACCACGACCCAGATACCTCTACTAGACACACGAGGGCAACAACCACTCAGGTGTTACCCATTGTCACGAGAACTCCTTTTCAGCTACTGGTGGAATTCAAAAAAACCGCGACATCAAGGCCTATGTCAATTCTTGCGACACGCGTGCTAAGTGCAAGAGTAACTACGGTAGACGTACCCACTGGCCTATTGGCCACTGCAAACGAGGAAAGAGACCATTCGATCTCGTCTTTATAGACTTTGTCATAATGCCCAACTCAAAGGGAAAGCGCTACATCCTAAACATCTTGGATAGCTTCAGCCAACATTTTACAGCCATACCATGCACTCTCTAGAGATCAGCTATCGACGCTGCCCGCGGATTGTACCATTTTCTTCCTTTGACACAGAGAGATTCCACGATAGTATCCTCTGATCA